ACCATGTGAAAATGAGGGCAGAGATCAGGATGATGCTTCTATGAGACAAAGAACTGTAAAGATTACCAGCAAACACCAGAAGCTAGGAGAAAGGCGTGGAACAGATTCTCAATTCTCCCTTACAGCTTCAAAATAACCAACCCTACTGACACCTTGATCTCAGACTCTAGCCTCCAAAACCATAAATTTCTCTTGTTGAAGCCACCCAGTTTGTGGTACCATTATGGCAACCCTAGCAAACTAATACAGTCCACAAATAATTCCATTTATTCCCACAGTTTTCAATACCATCTCTATGCCAGCATCTTCCAAATACACATCTTTATCTCAGAACTTTGTTTTATCCTCCAGATTCATACGTACATGCAACTGCCTACTGACATTTCTACTTGGATGTCTTTAAAAACATCTCAAACTCAACATGTCCAGAACTGAACTTTTGATCTCCTCCCACAAAACCTGTTCGCCTACAACCTTCCCTGTCTTATTAGATGGCAGTTTCATCCTCTTGATTGGCAGGCAAAAAACCTTGGTGGGTGTCACCCCTGGTCCCTCTCTTTCTCTCAATCTTCCAACAATCCTCTTTACTTCACCTTCAAAATACATCTGTGAAAGTTGTCAGAATCAAACGGAATTACTTATGTCAATCTCTAATAAAATGGAGTCAGGAGACTATAAAGGAGGGGCTTTCACACATACATGCCTATGATAAAAACAATTGCAAGGACTCTGAAAACCACAGTCTTGCACAAAGGCCACTGAAACCTTATGCAAAGAATACTCCTGCAAGGATATTTGCTGAGCAATTGCCTATTCAACTTTGGACTGACACCATCCTTGTGATTTGATCCTTGTAAGCCAAGGATAATTATTTCAAAACAACTTATACAACCTTCTTCGTTTTGCCTTTAAAAACCCTTACCTTCTTTTACCTCCCTGGGTATACCCATGGCTCCTCATGGGGCTGCTATGGCATAAGTATTCCCAGATTATAATCTTTATCCTTCTGTTCATTCCTAAATAAATTCATTATCTTTGGAGAATCTCTCTCCATTGTTCTTTTAAGTTGATGCATTCAATATATATTCTTCTGATCACTCCCTCCACTCTATTACCCTGATCTGAGCTATCACCTCTCTCCCCTGAATTCCTGCAATAGGCACCTGATTCCCATGCTTTTACCCTTAACCATCTCAGTCCATTGGACAGCAGCTAGAATGATGCTTTTAACATACAACTTGCATCATGCTGATCCTCTGCTCAAAGACGCAATGGCTCCCCATTTTTTTCAGGGGAAGTGTCAAAGCATTCACAATGACCTAAATCAGGAGGCTTGATATCCAGACTTTTTCTACTCTTGGCATAGTCTCTTCTACAATGATTGGACAACTAATTAAAATATTTCAGATTCTAGAAAATTGTCTTTTCTGTGAACCTCAGTTTCTTCACGTGTAAAATGAGGAAGTTTAAATAATATAAGGATCCTTTCAGCGCTAACACTTATAAATTTTTATTAACCAGAGAATTCACTCTGCTATGTGTGGTGCTGACACTGTGTTGAAGGAGCCCAAAATGAAGCTACTATTTTGTAATTATAGGGTTGATCTAATCACTGCAGACAGCACATTAGGTAATTTAATTCCTGAAGTGAATTTTATTCAGTTTAGCTACCTACACTCAAGCAAATTAGATAATTAGATAACCTCAGTCACTATGTAAGAAACTAGTAATCTTTGAACAAGCTGCATGTTCTGAATGGGCTGATTCACATTTTACATGGATCAAGAGGTCATACAGATATGTAAGAACACCCACATATTTATACATATATAAGTAGTGTGTATATATATGTTAGAATGTGCATAGGGAGAAAATGGGTGAGAAAATTTGATTCATGCCTCTTAAGATATAAGATATTTTTTAAAAGCACATTTAGTTAGCATTAAATTTTAAATTAGTCAATAAAATTAATTTTACTTTGCTAAAATATGTTTTCATTCATTTGATTGTTTTGCTTACCTTATCAATGTAAAGATTGTTTTAATATTTAAGCATTTTTTTTATTTCTGAACTCAGAAAGCACTTTAGAGAACCTCCATTACTCTCCTGCTTGCTTTCTCTCCTCTAGATACACTGCCTGCATCTTATTCCTGGAGCAGATCAGGCACACTCCCACCACAGGGTCTTTGCACTGCCTGTCCTCTCAGCCTGAAACACTCTTCCCCCAGATATTCACGTGTCTATCTCCCTCACTGCCTTGAAGTCTTTGTTCAAATATCACTTTCTCAATGAGATTTTCCTTCCACTTCATTAATCATGATTCTACTTACCCTTTTCTATTTTTTACCCATAGCACTAAATACCTCACAATATACAATATAATTTTCACATTTATTATGTTTTTATTTATTTTTGGTCTCCTCTGCATTACAATGTTAGTTTCTTAAGGGCAGAGATCTTTGTTTTTATTCACTGATGTATCCCAAATGCCTAGAATCATGCCTGGGATATAATTGACGCTCAATAAACGTTTATTAAGCAAATAAATCTGACAATATTCTTATGAATATAAATTTAGGTGATCACGAATAAAGTCATTGAAAATAATAAAGTATTACAAACAAATAAATTAGTTTGTGAACTGGAAATATTAAGATTGAGGTAATACTTTACAAATATTATACTAATGTATTTTAATTGACTGCTTAACTTATGATTCTTAGTAACTGCCTGTTTTAGTCCATTTATATTGCTTATAACAAAATTGTTGGAATTGGATACTTTGTAAGAAAATGAAATTTATTGCTTAGAGTTTTGGAGGCTGGGAACAAAGTCCAGGGAACACATCTGGTAAAGGTCTTGGTTGTGACAGTAACACAGGGGTCTCACATGGCAGAGTGGCAGAGCAGAGAGAAAGAGGAAAGGTGGCAGGGCCTTTTTAAACAACTAGCTCTTGTGGGAACTAATAGAGTGAGAACTCACTCACTGCCATCCCTGCCAGGGAGAGTATTAATCTATTCAAAAAGGATCCACCCCACCGTGACCCAAACAGCTCCCAAACTGCCACATTGGGGATCAGATTTCTACATGAATTTTGGGGGGACAACATATCCAAACTCTATCACTTCCCACCTCCAAGGCTGAACCTTATGAATTATTGCCCCGTGAAAAGAAAAGGCAGATATTTGACTTTATTTATTAGCAAGACAATATATAGGCTTAAAAACCAAGCTTGGAAAAAAGAGAATTTTTCCAAATTTCACTAGCATATTTAGTCAAGCATACTCAGACCATAGAGTTCCTGTCATGAAGAAGACCATTGTCCAGAAAGGAAGGCTAGGGCAAGAAATTTTGTGCCCTAAGGTAGAAAGAAAGAATCTTCTCCATACTTAACAATAGGAGGTATTTCAGAAAAGGTAAGGGACACACCTAAAGTAGATACTACTTACTTATGAGTCTGAAAAAATACCATAATAGAGAACAATTCTACACCAACATAACTGGCCACAGCATGGTCAAGAGTGTGACAACTTGATAGGCAAAGAGACGGTCTGGTTGGTACTCCTGAAGCACCTGCAATTTTGGTTTGGTGTTTCTGATGAATTGTGAAGAGGCAGAACTCCTGTAAAGCCTACTATGACTCTCACATTCAAGCTAAGATTCCATGTTTTGCTGGCATTTGCTGTTACCTGCATCAACTCAAAGACAAATTCTCTGTGAGTGTCTCTCAAAAGTGCTCACAAATTATCCGTTCCTGTCCTTTCTCCCTTGCCCTTACACTGGTGCTAAGACTCTTGGGGGAATCAGATTACCACTGCCACTTATGCCAGAATCCAGCACAGGGAATTCCAAGGGTACTTTGTACTGATGCTCCCAAAGAACCCACCCCTCAATATTCCAAAGCCTCTACTCCACCATCCCCAGCCTACTCACATATTTCAAATTGCTGAGATGCCATTGTGTGTATCTCAAAGTCATGGTCAAATAGCAAAACCTGAACCAATCATAAGACCCATAGCTGGTGCTCATTGATGCACATGATAGAACGTGGTGGGATCACTGGAGTGGTTATATCACATGACTTTGATCTAGAAAGATAACAAGGAGGAGGTGAGTTTTGAGCCAAATTCTTAAGGAAGATTGGAAAGCAGAAAGTAGTCAGCCCATTCAAGCCATTGGGAATAAAATATTGCAAGCTAGAGGCCAGTTATCTGAGATGCATAAAAGAGGCATGTTGATTTTGCTGGATTAGAAATTCTTTGTCAGGGAGATGAGACATAAAATCATTACAGAGTAAAAACTGAGGGCAGTTATGTAGAAATCATTTGATATAACTTCCTTAAGCCTAAACCCCCCTACCTCTAAAGAAGACTATTTCTTCTTTAGAAGCAAACTTATATCTAGTATTACCTTTCAGCTGAGATTATATATAGAAATGTATTTATTTTTTAATTTTTTTTTACAGAGAATTTTCTCCCTTGGGAGGTAGTATTAAAACTATTTTGATAATGAAGCCAGTCAACAACTGCAGCTATATTTATAATGCTTGAGTATTGCTTAGCTGAGGTACCATGACACCAGAAAACACAACAAATCCTTTGGAAGGACAAGGAGTGGCCCCTATACTTAGCAACACAGTGCCTACATATGTCATATGTGGAAAAGCCTCCTGGGACAAGCTTTGAATAATAAGAAATTTGATTCACCTTTCCTAAAAATTCTGGTGAAGAAGCTAAGTTTGACTTTATGGCTATAATTTCAAGTATTGAAAACTGAAGTATTGGGGTACGTGTGTGTGTGTGCACATAGTATTTATAATATGTGTTATTTGTACACACACAGAGACAAACACAGATACACACACTTATTTGTGGGAGGCAAACTCACTTTTATTTGAGATCTTGTCTTGGATAGTAGCCACCTCATTGACTCTGGATCAATCAGCCAATATTTATTGAAAAATCTACACGGGTATATTATCTGTTACATGAGGTAGAAGCTTGAAACAACATATCTGACCTCAAAGAACTACCTTCAGTCCTATCTTAGATCAGTAAAGGCAGGAGAAGAAGGAATGGAGCTTGGATATGATACATGTCAGGACATCTGAGCAGGCCAGTGTGCAGAGGACTTGATAAGATCCAGCATGCTTCAGGCGATAGTGAGCACTTCATTGCCAAGAGAAGTCATGAGGTTCCAACCACTAGGCACTCTTCCTCCTAATAAATCCAAGGCAGAAACACTTATGGTTTGCCTTCAGTTGTGGAGGTTTATTCTAAGGATACAAGAACACAAAGTCAGATGAAAGTTATCCCACCAAACTGATAATCATGCTGAGATTCAGATCGCTCAGAAAGCTCATAGAAACCCAGAAAATACGTTCAGTATCTGATAGAGGACATCCCTACCAGGGACTCTCCCAGAAGTTATACATCTCAAGATAAAAAATGTGATTAAGATATTTTGTTACCATTCTGCATAGTGCACCCATTGGATAGAATGTATTCCAAGCCACCACAAAGACGCCTGATCTCCCTGATATGCCCCCTTTACACTTACTTCACGTCTCTAACTTAATCATATCTGGCTATTGCATCAGAGTTACTTTCACTAAAAATACACATATTGTAAGCCCTGTAGCAGCCTGCAGGAAAGAAGAGTTTCTGGTCACTTTCTTTTTCAAAGATAGTTGCATAAGAAACAAGTCTTTGAGGCACCATGGCCTCCAGCAGACTGCAATACCTGAAAGTGCAATATGAGAGGCCAGGAAGAAACTATGAGTTCAAGCAGCAGGGGTCATTTAGGTAGAAGTGTGTTCATAGGTGACCTCCTCAGTCAAGGAAACTGAAAGAAACAGGTGTCACTCATCAGGAACCAAAGCAGAAGACCAGTCTTGGGAGGTGAATTACAAAGCAGAGTTCATCAGTGGGGCAACAGAGCTGGGTGAGATTGTGAATGATGACTTGGGTAAGGTACAGCTAAACCTTCAGGGGGAGAAAAGATGGACAGACCTAGCTGAAGAGCTGAGATGATAAAGGCAAAAGAAAAAGATAAAGTTCAAAGAAGCCAAATAAAGAAACAGCATAAACAGGTGAAAAGCTAAACAACAGTCTAGGCAATAAGTCACGATTCGTGGTGCCAAGGTGGTGCTGGTGTTTCACTGCCACTGCCTTCACTGCAGGAGCCACCTCCACATAATAGGAGATGATTGAGCTCGGTCTCGAATGAATAGGCACTCATCAAGCAGTGCAGGGAAATTAATGTGACTACAGCAAAGGGTGGGTGTGTAGGGAAGTAGCAAAGATAAACTTTGTATAAAGAAACAAAAGAAGAAAGCAGGCACACCACCACAATCAACTTTAATAAAGTTTGCCTCCGCTACATGAGGCCTAAATGAGAAACTGTCACTCCATGCCCACATTTATTTGAATATCCAGAAAGAACATTCAGAAGAAATCTCACAAACATGTTACATTCTTCACACTGAACTTAAAACAAAAAATACAAGAGTCTCCAGATGCAGTCAGCATTAAGCCTGCCTTAATGAGGCATGGCATAATCTGTCAACTAATTCTGAAACTGAGGCCCACACTACCAGCCAGGCATATCAAGAGAACACTGCATTAGATGTCTCAGTTCGTCAATCTAATAAATGAGTTCTCAAATGTCACTTTCCCTCCATATGCAGCAAATATTTTTCTGTTATTTAGTTCTGCTGTTTTAATTGGGTTAACTCTCAGTGCGCCAGCATGGTTCCATCTGTGAGAGACACTTATGTCACTTAATGGAGAGAAAGAAATCTACAAGAGGAAGGGTATCACAGTTGAGAGGGACATGTGGTATATATTCTTGTCAATATAGAAAATAAGCATGCTAAATTCATATTTTTCAATTAAAGATTATAAAATCAGCTGGTGATATGCCTTTTATTTCATTATCCATCTTGAATATCCTTAAAGCAAAATAAGCATTTTGATTAAATCCTACAGCTTCTGGTCTATTTGCCATATGTGACAACTGTAGTAGAGTTACCAACAGTATTTGAGAAAAAGGGCACAAAATGGTATGTGGCAGTTTTAAACCTGAGTGAAATATCTAGCCAGTCTACAATTTGGCAGGTGGAATCTTCTCATGAGCAAAGAAAATCCTGAATGGACACTTAAAACAGCAACAAATTTAGTTATTAAAGTATGTTGCTAGTTCAAAAGTAATTAAATCGATAAGATAATATTGGTTGTTTCAATAAGAAATTAAAAAACATATTAATGAAAAGAAATTTTGCCAAGCCCCAAAATGTTTTATTAACTTTTATGACTTAATATTAAATTAAGTATGTTTTAAATCATTTTATTTGTAAGAATATGAATCAAGTTTTCCCAGCTCTTAGAGATTTTTCTATACGTGAGCTTAATATACACACCAATTTCACATGTGTAAGCCTTGAACATGTGTGATCTACATGAAATGTGAATCAATCCATTCGGAATCTACACCTTGACTACAGATTGCTGGCTTCTCACACAGGGACCATGGCTACCTACTCACTCAATTTATGTGATGAGTATAGACAGTCAAACTGAATAAAACCCACTTCAGGGATTGAATTATCTAGTTTAGCTGTCTGCATTGATCAGATTTACTGTATTATTATAAAATAGTCATTTCAATTTGCACTAGCTCCACATACCATGTAGTACATTCCCTCTTTCATAAGGAATTATAGGATTTTTGAGCTGGAAGGGGCCTTAGAGATTAACCCCTTATTTTACAGATGAGAAAACTGAGGATTCGAGATTTTCCCAATTCAATCAGCATAGTTAAATTAGGAGAAAAACACTTTGTGGAATTTGAATCATCTCAATTAGTTTTATAGAACCAGTGTGGTAAAATAGCACATGAAATAGCAGGCCGCTTGGCTAGAGTGATTTTAGGTTAGAGTTTCCCAAATAAGATGGCATAAATGAGGGAAGATATTGATCCATTAGACCCTCGTATGCCTGGGCAGAACCTAAGGCAGCCTGAACTCTTGGTCCAGTCACCCCAACCCTTGAGCAAACATGACTATTTATCCAGGTGTGTCAAACAAATACTATCACCTTTTGTTAGTGCAGTGATATACAGGGATTGGAGAGAATTTCATCTTTAGGACTTCAGGCAATTAAATCTCGCCTATCTGTACCTCAGATACCTTCTTTTTAAAGTTATGGGCACATACTATATTATTTGCACAAATACCAGGCAGTTCTTTCATTTATCACATACTGCTAGACTCTTAAGCAAGATACAGTTACGAGTAAGGCACAGTATCAGTCAGAAGAGGCAAGACTATGCTGTGGTAACAAATACCAGCATCTCAGTGGCTTAATCCAAATCAAGCAAGTACAGTGCAAGTCAAGGTGCCCTCCCCAATCTTGTGACAACAGCTGAAAGATATGGCCTCCCAAATTATGACAGGTGTGGAAAAGGAAAATAGGGGAGGCATGCCAGCTCTTTAACTGCTTGACCCAGACATAATACACATTATTTCTGCTCACATTTCATTGGCCAGAATTGATTGCATGTCCCTATTCTAACTGCCAAGGTTCATGAAAATGTAGAGGATGACATAGATATTTGGAGACCACTAACGGCTTCTCCTTTATTCATGAAGGAAAAAATATATATATATATACACACGCACACACACGCAAACTTTTATACAAATCTCATTCTAAGATGTCATGCTTCTGTTTTTGCTAATATAGCTGTTGACCAGCATAATATTTGTTCACCTAATATGATGGTACTTCAAAAAGCTAGTGAAAAATTTGTATTAAAAGATAATACAATCCTTCCATGAACTTTTAAAAGACCCCATTGTATACAGCAGTTGAGTGGGGATTCCTAACATAAAAACACAATTCTCTTATTCAATTGAAATAATCTTACCACTAATAATAGTTCACATCAATATAGCTTGTTGAGTTTTTAAAACTCTTTCACACATGAAAATAATAACACCCACTGTCTTTATTTGTTCAGGCAGCTATCACAAAACGTCACAAACTGGGTAGCTTACAAACAACAGAAATGTATTTTTCACAGTTCTGGAGTCTGGGAAGTCCAAGACAAAAGCAGATTTGGGTCTGGTGAAGGCTGGTTCCTGGTTTATAGATGGTGTCTTCTTGCCATGTCCTCACATAGCAGAAGAGACAAGGCATCTCCCTGAGGCCTCTTTTATAAGGGCATTAATCCATTAATGAGGGCAGGGCCCTCATGACTTAATCATCTCCCAAAAGTCCTCACCTCCTGACACCATCACTTTGGGGGACATGATTTCAACATATTAATTGGGGTGGTGGGTAGACATAAACAGTCAGACCATAGTACTCATCTTGTACAGTTATAGTAAGAATTAAATTTTAAAACAAGCTTAAAACACTTAGCATAGTACCTAGCACATGGAAGAGCTAAATAAATGTTCGTTGTTATCATTGCCACCAGCAGAGTCATTGGTCTCATTTGATTCTCTGCAGGCCATGTTTAGTCTCACTGAGGAAAGTTAGATGAAAAATGTTAAGCCGTTGGCTTAAGAATGCAAGAAGCAGAAGAGCAGGGTTGCCAATCTAACTACTCTGACACCAAATCCAGTCATCTCTGCACTTTTTATGTGGACAGTTCTTCATTTGGAGCTCAAGTTTATCTTTAATTTCCCAACAGTCTTTCAGTTGCACAAGATAGTGAGTTAACTAGGAAATAGTTTGAGCTCCTTTCCTATTCTAAGGTTTTAGCCGTACCCAATTATTTTATAATTATATGACTTAATGACACAAAAAATGAAATAACTTTAAAAAGAAGAAAGATAAATGTGATCTGAAAGTGTCACAATTTTTATGACATCCCTGCTGAAATTGATGACTATAAAAAGTCCCTCTCAAATTCTAAAATTTGATGATTCTACATCAACCCAGTGTACCAGAAATTTTTCTCTTTACTTGTTGCACTGTGCATGTGACTCACAGTTGGTGATATAAGCTTTTGCAAGCTCAGGTAATAACAGACATTTGTCAAATTTTTAATGGGACATACTATCCAGGACTCAAGCCCTGACAAGTCTCCTACAACTTTCCAGTCCTATTCTATTCTTTATCTTCTATATAACAATTTCAAAGTTTTAAAATTATCCAAGTATTTTGCCCTTGCAGTGTTAATTAGTGCTTCTAGTCTAGTTCTTTCTAGCATAACATTTACTAACAGTCTAATGTCAGTTTTTATATTTGGAGACAAATTTAGCCC